AGAAGGTGAAGCGGGAATCGCCCGTCGTTGTCGAGGCAAGAGAGCCACATGGTTGGACCGAAATCGAAGCCGCGACGAGAAGCGAGGTCGAGGCGCCATCAGTCAACCCCGTCGACGGCATGACGAAGCCACACGATGAGGTCCGCCCAGCGACAGGCAACTTCGCGAGCCCGACCGGTTTCATCAACTACGACCCTGTGCGTGAGCCCAATGAAGTTGCTGCGAATCCATCCAGCTCATCCAAGATTGCCGGGAAATTCGTATCGGATTACGAAGCTGAAGCATGGGATGACTCGCTGTCACGCGAGCACTTCAAGGACCGCACTGAGGCTATCGAAGAGCTCCTCCGGCGCGACGAAGAGGAGAGTACGAAGCACTACCCCTTGATCAAGCGCTCCGAGCCAGTCTTCAGCGGCACGAAGCGCGTTGATCGGAAACCCTTCCGTGGGCGTGCCATACCACGTCGTCCAAGACTTGAGGGATCGGAGCAAGGTCAGAATGAGCAGAAGTCTTCCAAAGCGCTTCGCTGGACTGCCGGAGCAGGAGTGCTGACCGCTGCGGCTGCTACTGCGTATGCACTGGGTACTGCGAAGGAGAATCGGAGTGCGAGGGAGAGGGAGTGGGTTGCTAGGGAGAGAGCTATGCGGGAGATGAGGGAGGCTGCTGAGAGGGGAAGGTGGAAGTTGGACAATGGGTTTTGGAAGAAGGGGGAGTAGCGGGATGGGGAGGCATGCATGGTTTGGGTAGGGGCATCTCCGCTTGGATCTTTCAATGACTTATTCTTGAAGGTATGGTTATGGTATACACGCATCTATGAAGCATTTTAACAGAATTCTCTTCACTGCAACATTGAGTCGTTTCTACCGTGATGCTGCGCTTTCTGTGGCGAGCCTCGGCGGGAATGATCACCGATGTGCTTGGCGTTGACGTCTTGTAGATGCATCATGTAATCAACGACGATGCGAGTCGCCGAGTCCATGCGTATGCTTGTGCTGCCTTGCATTGTTTGGAGTTGAGTATAGCCACTGTCTATTGAAGAGTCAGCCATTTTTATCTCTTCTGCCTTGTTCGTTGAGTCATAATCTGCCGTAGACATCACCGCGACTTTGCTAGAACGGGTCACACGAGGACATGATCCAAGGGACGAGTCTGCCATGGCGACTTGCCCTACGAAGCCCGGCGCGCAGAACATACAGCACGAGTAAATCTGTTTGCGCGGCATGCAGGGCGCCGGTGCGAACACCACACACTCTGTCGAGTCTACCACATCGAACAGCAGGGTCGCCACTGCGCTCAGATTACGTTCCCATCACAGCCCGACCTTTCTCGTTATCGAGTTCTCGAAGAAGAGACAAGCCACCAGGAACTCAACCGGACGAAGAGTTGATTAGCGAAGTACTAAAGGAAGCGGAAGAGAAGTCCGAGACCGACCTGGAGGCAAAGAACAAGCCTCCCGAACCCACACCCATTCCCAGCGCTGCGGATGGCAAAGCGACGTCCAGCGCAGGCGGTGGCGGAGGTGGCGACTCTGGCGCACCTGGTGGCAGTGATGGAGGAAATCGCAAGCGCAAGAGTGGGCAAAGTATTGCGCTAGCGAAGCCTTCAGTACCGGATGAATACCCTCAAGTGATGGCGATCCCTATCGCTCAGCGGCCACTCTTCCCTGGCTTCTACAAGGCGATCACGATCCGGGATCCTGTTGTCGTTGCAGCTGTGCAGGAGCTGCTCAAGAAGGGTCAGAGCTATGTGGGTGCATTTCTGCTCAAGGACTCGGCGAGCAATCAGGATGTCATCAATGATCCGAGCGAGGTCTACGATGTTGGCACATTTTGTCAGATCACTGGAGCGTTTCCGGCTGGGTCTGGGGATGAGAAGGCATTACAGGCTGTGCTGTACCCGCACAGGAGGATACGGCTGAGCGAGCTGCTGCCGCCGAACCGACCTGGGGTGAAGACGAAGGACAGTGTGCAGACTTCGCCAGTACCTGCGGAGCCTGTGTCTGCCGAGGAGGCAACGAAGACGGAAGCGGATGAGAAGAAGGGAGACGTTGTGGCGAGCTTCGAGGAGCCGAGCGGGGACAAGGATGCTGTGGCGAAGCCTATGGTCGCGTCTGGACCGACAGCGTTCTTATCGGACTGGCCTGTCAGTCTTGTGAATGTCGAGAATCTTGTCGATGAGCCATTCGACAAGCGATCGCCGACGGTGCGCGCGTTGGTATCGGAGATTGTGAACACATGCAGAGAGATCGGCACTGTTAATCAGCTCTTCCACGACCACATCTCGACGTTTGCGATGTCGCAATCAGCAAGCAACATCCAAGACGAGCCGGCAAAGCTCGCAGACTTCGCAGCTGCAGTCTCAGTCGGCGAGATGGAGGACGCACAAGGCGTGCTGTCTGCGCTGAACATCGAGACAAGACTCAGCAAGGCGTTAGAAGTAATCAAGAAGGAACACATGAACGCACAACTCAGCAGCAAGATCTCGAAGGACGTTGAGACAAAGATCCAGAAGAGACAACGAGAGTACTGGCTCATGGAGCAGATGAAGGGGATCAAAAGGGAGCTTGGGCTTGAGAGCGATGGCAAGGATAAGCTGGTAGAGAAGTTCAAGGAGAAGGCCAACAAGCTCGCAATGCCTGACGCTGTCAAGAAAGTCTTCGATGAGGAGATCAATAAGCTCGGAACTCTCGAGCCTGCTGCGAGTGAGTTCAATGTCACGAGAAACTACCTGGACTGGCTTACGCAGATTCCTTGGGGTCAGAGGAGCGCAGAGAACTTCGGTATCCAGCATGCGCGGGATGTGCTTGATGAGGATCACTACGGATTGAAGGACGTGAAAGATCGCATACTGGAGTTCATTGCCGTGGGCAAGCTACGAGGGACCGTTGAGGGCAAGATTCTGTGTATGGTAGGGCCACCAGGTGTCGGAAAGACGTCGATCGGCAAGTCCATCGCAAGAGCACTGAACCGTCAATACTACCGCTTCAGTGTTGGTGGACTGACGGATGTCGCCGAGATCAAGGGCCACCGAAGAACATATGTTGGCGCGCTGCCAGGCCGCATCATTCAGGCATTGAAGAAGTGTCAGACCGAGAACCCGCTCGTATTGATCGATGAGATTGACAAGATCGGCCGAGGGCATCAAGGCGATCCTTCGAGTGCACTACTCGAATTGCTGGATCCGGAGCAGAATAGCTCGTTCCTGGATCATTACATGGATGTGCCTGTTGACTTGTCGAAGGTGCTCTTCGTGTGCACAGCGAACATGCTCGACACTATTCCTCGACCTCTTCTTGACCGCATGGAGGTCATTCAGCTGTCTGGCTATGTGTCTGACGAGAAGATGGCGATTGCAGATCGTTACTTGTCGCCCCAAGCAAAGGAGCTGAGCGGTCTCAAGGATGTCGAAGTCAACATTGATAAGGACGCGATCATGGAGCTGATCAACAAGTACTGTCGTGAATCCGGCGTACGGAACCTGAAGAAGCACATCGAGAAAGTGTACCGCAAGTCCGCACTCCGGATCATCCAGGATCTCGGCGAGGACGTCTTCAGCGAGGCGAAAGCAATGACGCCGGAAGGCAAAGACGCCGCGACCGAGGCCGCCAAAGAGAAAACAGATCCTACGATCACACCCGAGAACATTGCCAATGAGACCACTGAAACACCACGGGTCGCGCTGAAGGTGCCTGACAGTGTCAAGCTTGATATCACTGCCGAAAACCTGAAAGACTTTGTCGGCCCTCCGGTCTTCACCTCAGACCGCCTCTACGAGACGACACCGCCTGGTGTGGCTATGGGTCTTGCCTGGACGCAGATGGGTGGCGCGGCACTCTACGTCGAGTCGATCCTCGAGTCCGCCCTATCCTACAACTCCCGTGCTGGTTTCGAGCGAACCGGTAACCTCAAAGCTGTGATGAAGGAGAGCACACTGATCGCTTACTCGTTTGCGAAGGGCCTAATGGCCAGGAAATTCCCACAGAACAAGTTCTTCGAGAAAGCGAGGATCCATCTGCATTGTCCCGAGGGCGCCGTGCAGAAGGACGGGCCGAGCGCTGGTATTACGATGGCTTCGAGTTTGCTCAGTCTGGCGCTTGACAAGCCGCTTGATCCGACGATCGCCATGACTGGCGAGCTCACGGTAACTGGCAAGGTCTTGCGAATTGGTGGTCTGCGGGAGAAGACTGTTGCGGCACGGCGGGCGGGCGCGAAGATGATTATCTTCCCGAGGGACAATACGAGTGATTGGCTTGAGTTGCCTGAGGTAAGTCTTAACATACCCCGCATCGATCAGAGATACTCATACTGACTTCATGCAGAATATCAAAGAAGGCATCGACGGCAAGCCAGTGGACTGGTATAAGGATGTCTTCGACCTGGTGTTCCCAGAGATCGATGCAGCGGAGGCGAACACGCGATGGAAGAAGGAGCTTGCGAAGCCGCCAAAAGAGGAGCTGGACGAAATGAAGGAGCTCGAGCATGCATGAGTGTAGCGGCTTTGAATCGACGCCCCGATGGTCGGAACGAGTGGTAGCCATACCGCACAGAGATCGCGACGAGACACTTGTGACACGCGAAACCATTGCGATAATGGCACAGCTTGCTCCCTGAGCAGTCGTACGTGCATCGCACACGATTACTGGCGCTACAAATGGTCCTGGGAAGAAGTGGCTACATCGCAAGATCCTCTGCGGACGGCCAGCTTGTGAGCTTTGAGAGGTTCGAGCGGCGAATGTACAACGATGGTGTTTGATGATCATCGGAATGGTCTTGGTGGAGCGATCAAAGCTCCGCTCTATGTATATATATAGATTAGAGTCGAGTGTTTGGCTTTGTCGAGTCCCTCAAGTCTATCGAGACTGCCGAGTCCTTTAGATCGCAGCGACATCAATTGGCGAGTGGGGGCTGCGCACAATTGTTGTCAAAAAAATCAAAGTATATAATGATTCAATTCTGACTCCTGAGTCAGCAGGGCACACTGTCCCGCTGTAGCTTTCGTTCGGACCTGTGGCGCAGCGGTAGCGCGTCTGATTCCAGTGCGTGTTTCCAGAAGGTCATCCGTTCAAATCGGGTCAGGTTCACACTTCATTTTTGCGTTTCTGTCTGTATTTTCCATCTTCTCACTTCGGAGGAAAGTGCGACACATGATGAGAAAGGGAAGGTGCGGAAGCGTGGCGGCGAAATGCACGTTGATGCAGCAAGCCGACTTGCATGCACCTCGCTTCAGGCGAACATCACTGTTGTCATATATGCTGCCATCTGCAAATTCACCATCGCTAGATCTTAGATGAGGTAGAACATTGAAGTGAGGTCTCTTCTATCACACCTTGCGTCTACGGAGGATTCTCTTGACACAGGCTTCCTCATACGGTGATCACATCACTGGCAATACATCGCCCTCACGTTCCTTCATTATACTGCCCGCTCTGGACCACCTGAGCATTCTTCACCCCCAGGATTTCTCTTCTCCATTGGCTGATTCATCACGCGAGTCCTAGCCGGCTTCTGCAGGATGTCTTCCGCCACTTATCTCACCGCGTCCACACTACCTCGCATCTCAGCCGCCACCCTGGAACCACTGATACGCTCCCGCGACACGAGCGTAGCCGTCGTTGACGTCCGTGATGACGATCATGTCGGCGGCCACATCCACTCCTCGTACCATGTCGCTTCAGGCACCCACGATGTGGCTCTGCCCGAACTCGTCTGGAAGCTGGAAGGCAAGGAGACCGTGGTCTTCCATTGCATGTTGAGCCAGCAACGCGGTCCGAAGGCTGCGATCAACTATGTGAGAGAGCGAGAGAGACTGATTGGGAAGGGTGGTGCGGGTAAGGAGCAGAAAGTCATGGTTTTGGAGGGTGGGTTTGGGAAGTGGCAAGAAGTGTGAGTGCGCCACGTTTGCATGTAGTGACCTTGTTGAATGGCGTTGACGATGATCTCAGGTACGGGGAGGACAAGGAGTTGACCGAGGCATACGCGAAGGACGTCTGGGAAGGCTTCGATGGTACCCACTAGGAAGCACCAGTCTCTGCCCTGTATTCTTTGACGCAGTAAAGCACAGCCCGGATCAGGTCATACCACATGGCTTACTCGGACTTTAAGATCTGTCAGGTAGGAAGTCTTGGGACGCAGACATCTCGTATCGCGATATTGTGATTGGGCCCGCGTGTTGCGGAAGGTATGAAGCGCGAATTCAAGCACCAAGATGGAATTCGCTGACATCTGCATAGGTTCATAAAAGACATGCTGACCATCTCAAGCGGTCAAGATCAGTACCACTAGATACGCACAATTCACCACGAGCTGACCTCGTGACATACCCATTTTGCCTTGCACACCACGAATAAGTGTTAAGCGCACGTCTTCTCTTGCACTTACTCTTCAAACTCTCACTCCCCGACCACTATCTTCGAGCTGCAAGCCACACTCATCCAACAGACAAATTAATCTCTGCTGCACTGACGTGCACGACCATCTTTTCGAAATACACAAGAATCTACACAATACGATTGACCGGCAATTTCAATCTACCACACCGGACAAGATGTCCGTAATCAATATCTTCCTCCAGGGGTTCAATCTGGCTCTGCCTCGGCCTCTTCCTAGCCTCAAGCCTCCTACTCGCCATCATCTGCCTTACCTGGAAGCCCTCCCGCGTAGACTGGGAACACGGCTTCCTGGATCTTTGCGCCCTGCGCACTCGCGCCTCGTGGACGGTCTGGCTCGTGATCCTGGTAGCGATGTCCGGAATATTTTTGATTGTAGCCGTTGCCTTACCCAAGCGACCTACACTCCAAAAGCTGTGTCCGGGCTACCAGGAAAGCGATGCGGTGATCGCTAACGATCAGTGTCTAATGTGCAACACTCTAGGGGACAACGCAACCAGCCTGCCGGACGAAATCAGATTGATGCGAGGAACTTGGGCTGGGTATATATGTCAACGGACCCGTTGATCGTGAGCTCTTCACGCTTCGTATCGAGAGATAGCAGCGTACTTGGCAGAATAGAGCGGCTGACTCTTGGATTACTCTGGATCACGAGCTAGCGGGTCACTCGAACGAAAGTGGGTCTTTCTCCGACTTTCCGCAGAGGAGAGAGTGCTGATGTATGCCGCGCTGGGAGAGTGTATGCATGGCTGCACTGGCGGTGAAAGTGCTATAATCGCTAAAAGCTCTCCCAGGCAATACTAGCAGTGATTTGGGATCGTAGTGCAACATGCATGAGCAGGGCCAGCCTTAAGGACGCTTAGAGCGATCCGCGTCTGTTGTCACTCGTATACCGGTGCAATGGAAAATATCCGAGTGTGTCCAGAGCTCAAGGCGCACGAGCGTAGCCTAAGCCAGCGCATTCGCTTTTGCGAATTCGATGATCTACATCAATGCTACATTTCTTATCGCATTCGCGAGATCTTATTCAAGTCCCGACAGACAACCTTTATACAGGCCGTTGTAAGCCAGCGGAATCCACCGCCTTGCTCCAGCGTAGTACGTGCATACTACTGTTACGAGTTTACTGGTCAGCGGCGCGAGAACAGTGGTATACATCCGATTATCCGCATATCAAGAAGCCAGGAAGCGCTCATATCAGCCCAGCTGCAAAAGTCAAACGAGATACTCGTGCACCTGAGAGACACCAGGGCTGCGTGCGCAAGTAACAGATAATCATGCTCCTCTCCTTTGGCACTGCATCATCAAAGTTCTGCTACTACGGGTGCGTCGTGTACGAGCAGAGGGACATCTAGTGTCTTTGCGGAAAAGCAGGTGGTGCCGAGTAACGAGATAATGTGAAGGTCGTGTAGTCATACAGGCTCCTACCCGTGTAAACGCAATGCTATAGGCTTTTACGATCGTCCACTCGTATCCAATAAACCCCCAACCCTCATCCCTCATACACCCCTCCATCCCCCTCCTCTCTACGCCCACTCCCAGCTCTCCCCTCCCAGTCTCCCCCTACGATTAACCTCAACCTCGAAAACCCCCTCCTCACACCCAACCCAAACCCACCTCCCATCCGCACTAATCGCCACACCCGCACTCCTCACGCCCTCCAGCCCCCTCCCTCCCCCAGACGTGCTCCCTCTCATCCGCCTCAGCACCCTCTCGTACTCGTACCCCTCAGCCACACTCGGCCGCGGCAGCGCGGTAGTATTCGCGCCCGTGGCGACGGGGGACGTGGCTTGCGAGTCACCTCCGCTTAAGGTGCGCCAGCGCTCGCGTTGGCGGGCGAGGGAGCGGGTTGTGTGCGTTTGATCGCGCGATGCTTGGGCCTGCGGAGGAGGGATGGATGTGGTGGTGGGGTGAGGAGGGATGGGAGGGGCGAGGGATGCGGATTCGAAAAGCGGACCTCGCGCTAGGGCCATGGCGTCGGATATGGTACGCCAGGGGTTCTCGTTGTGGTCTGCTGAGTCTTCGTGGTCGGGAGGGTCGTCTGAGGCCGGAGGTGTGAGGGGTGGGGGTGTTGGTCTGGGGCGAGTCGTGGCTGAGGGTTGGTCTGATGCGCTTGTGGCGGGTGGGGAGAGGATTACTGATGCTCGACGGCGGGGGATGCGGGAGCTGTCGCTTTGGCGCGTGGAGCCTGTTGTGTTGCCTGATGTGCTGATATCTGGAGATCGATACGAGTTGGCGGCCCAGGCATTAATGTCTGGAGAGCCGGGAGCGAAGACAGATGTCGGTCGTGGCAGTCCATGAGACATGTCGCTGTATGAAGTGCCCTCCAGATTCGTGTCCGACATGCTGCTCAGAATCTCACTGATCGGCCGTGCGGCTGGATTCGCAGCCGGATGCGGTGTGTGTGATCGTGAACCGCTTGATCGTGTAGGGAGGAACATGTCAGGGCTTGTGTAGTTGAC